AATATTCTGCAGACGTTCTAAAGTAAAGGTGAACAGCGTTTTTCTTAAAAATATCACTGTTATGTAGTTAAAAAAATCCGGAAAGTTCTCGCTTCGTGACTTGTTCAATACTTCGAACGCGGATCGAGTCCGTCCCGACCTTCTGTCAAAGCCTCGTGTTGCGGACTCTCTCGCGGACCCTCTCCCTCGCACCGTCACCTCTCATTGGCCAGTGTTTTTCGTTAATAACTCGTAAACAAAGCCTCAGATTGCAAATTCGCAAAGGAAAAAGTTACTTCAAATGACCTCAGCTACCCCTCATTTTCGGCTGTTAAAATAATTGTGGGACACCCTGTATATATATAAAATTTTAGATATTTGCATTTGTTTTAAATTATATATATATATATAATTTAAAATTTTGTATTATTACTATTGTCGATTCAAACAATGACCCCTGTATATATATACATATATATCTATCAATTTGGACGCGCCGGTCACCGGTGACCCCCATGGCGTTACCGCCAAGTTAAGTGCCGGTCACCGGTGACCCCCGTGGCATTGAACGTGTTAAAGTCGTCGAAGTTTCACCTGTGCGCACATTGTTCTGACAGTAATTAACCGCTTGGGTACAGATTTATTTGAAAAAATGCTTGCGTTTGGCACAGATTTAATTTGCTGGTGCGCGGAGTAGTATACAAAGGCAGTAGATATTGCGTGAGAATTCATTTATTTCAGCGATATAATATACATAGTAATTAGAAGTTTGAATGACTAATTTGAGTTAAATGGAACAAGTAAATTAGACTCGTCATCCGTGACTTAGGCAAACCAAGTGCATGACGAGTCTCAATCGTCAAATGTACCCAAGGGGTTAATAGACCGCGGATTTTATACATTTATGCTAAAAATGAGTAGAATGAGCTAGAATGCGACAGAAACAACAGAAGAATTCAATAATGCTGTTATATCATTTTTCGGAGGAAAAGATACACATTTTTATTCAGCTCTTGATATTTATTATTCACTCGGAAAGGGTGTAGCCGATTAAGAGGGTCGAACCTGTTTCACAGCTTATTTAAACAGATGATAAAAAGACGACATTTTGTATAAAATTTTAATCCTCTATCGTGATCAGGGGCTTAGTTACAGGATGTCTTCGGTTTATCATTTTTTAATGGCTTTTCCCCATTTAAATGCCTCCATAAATTTTGAAAAAATGCAGTGAATCACGGGTATCGATATGCAAGTTTTGAGAATTTTTTTGATTTTTCGTTTGGAAATTCTCTAATTATAGAAAACGGGAAATTCCGAAAATATAGATTTCTTATACAAGATGAAAGAATGCCATATTTTTACAGGAGCCCCATACTATCAAAATAGTGGCTTCAAAATATTTTCAAATTTTTTAACTTGATACACCATAGTGAAAAGAATCGACCGTTTAAAACGTCTCCTAAATCGGCTTTCACATCTTAACCGGCAATACTCTGTTCTACATTTTCTTTTTAAATCCGCCGTCTAATGATTACAAACGTCATGGTTTATTCACGCAATTAGTATATATCGACAGGTAATAATATAATCTCAAATTGAGATAATAGTTCCCATAAAAATCAGATTTATTCGCATGCGAAAGGAATACCGAGTGGAGATAAAATAATAATAAAATCGGAAAAAGATTCCATCGCAATGATAGCAAGCATGATATCAGCGAATCGACGCAGAAAAAGAACGACCGAAGTTTCGAACAAAGCAAATATAATTCCGTCGAGCGAAGGATCGACGAACATAAACTCCGAGGCTCTCAGAAGTTTCGAATAACTCTGCGGCACAGGAGTATCACACGCGGCAACTGCGAAACTAGATTAGTTTTAATGCAAAATTGCGAAAACAGCGTGGAACGAGAGAATCAACGGTATGAAATTAAACTTCGCGATTCTGGGAAAGCATAATTACCACTATATTCAGTGATACAACTGTAGTTCGATACAACGTGCTTCGTCTCAGGAACGATTCAGAAACGATTGGGACAGTGGGACACATGTGTGCTGGTAACGGTACTGGATAAATATATACTGTAAATTGTCTCTAATCGACGCTCAGATTTTGCCCAAAAATGGACAATTTGGGAAGGGAAGATGCGATTATTCGAGCCTTGCGGCTCGTTTTTATAGTTGTTGACAATCGGTAACTATAAAAACGAGCCGCAAGGCTCCAATAATCGCATCTTCTCTTCCCAAACTGTCCATATTTATGTACAATCTGAGCGCCGATTAGGGAGAATTTACAGTATTTTCAATTCTTTGTCTATTCTCAATTCTTTGATATGTGTGCATATCATACAAGATTCTTATCTCTTCTTTTTCATCCGGTTTAATATTTATTAAATATTATTTATTAAATTGATTAAATTTATTATTCATCAACAGCGTAATATTATCATAGTATTGTTCCATTATACTTTTTCTATCATTTTTGTATCCTCAATGTATTCAAGTAATTTGTATATCTTATTGCATTCGATGTAGAATTCTATATCTTATTCCAGAAGTTGCAAATACAGTAATTTCACTCGGAAATGTCAAATTTCGGGTTGCTGTGTATTTCTCTGTGCTAGTCCTACGTCTACGTAATTTATTTCTACGTCGATCCTAAGCGTCGACGGAGTCGGTCAAGCGTGTAATGCGACACGCGACGCGATTCCCGGAAAACAACACGAAATGGTCTGTTTGGGTGTGAGTCAGGTAAGAAAAACCGCGGAGCTACAAGATAGAGTAAATTCTCCCTAATTCGTGTTCAGAAGAGGAGATTCGATTGCTCGAGCCTTGCGGCTCGCTTTTATAGTTGTTGACGTCGGTAACTATAAAAACGAGTGTTTTTACATAACTAAATTGTCCCTTTCTGTGCACAATCTGAGCGCGTAATACGTGACCGTCGAATCGTGGCATGTTGCCTCCGAATTGCCTTCGAATCGTGGCAAAAAAATTCGGAATGAAAAAGTTAAGTCATCTTTTTTATTCTAGCATTACTATTTATTCGTATTAACAATTTAATGACTGCACGTCTACGCAGTCATACGTTCTCGTTTGACGTCCACGTCGGCAATATTTATGTAAATTCATGAAATAATTCAATATGTGCGGACGTACACATGAAAAAAGACAATAACAATTTAACAATGCATTTAATACAACAAATTTGATATTTTTCCTTTGTGTGATAATTATGAAAGCAATCACCTACGTAATTATTAAAGCATCATACGCATGTTGTGTGAGCGGCCATTAACACTAGATTAATCTTTTTTTAATTTACGATTATTCATATCGTAAACATACATTTATGAGTTATTTGTTCAATTTATATGTTACTTATGGCAAATGTTACAATAACGCTTGTTAAAAATCGGAATAAACGTCTTATTGTTACTTTTATAAGCTAATATAAAACAGCTGTTTTTTGTGCTCCGTAAATCTAGTGTTAATGTACACCAGCATGATGGCCGCTGCCTTTTTCTGCCGACTGCCTCGAATTTCTACAAAAACGAGCCCCGAGGCCGGATGAATCGCGACTTAGTATTGTCAGATCTTCCGGCTTCAATTCCGACCTGCGAACATTTCTGGGAGAAATTACTGTATTTTGAACAGATAGATCGATGCACGCGGAATAACCGAACAATATCACCTGAAACTTTAACCCGAAGGAAAACTGCTGGGCGTCGATAGACCCCGACACGCGGAAGCCTATTAACAAGGCTCGTCCTCTGTAAGAGTGTTAATTAACCAAGAACAATCCTCTACGTCCCTCGGCCGCCACCCCCGTCCCCGTCGAGCGGACCAGCTACTCAAACATTATCCAATAGAGATTCCCATTCAGCCCCATTGAAAGACACCCGGGAAGGATGATTACACTCTCCTTTCTTATTCGGTGCGCCGCAGACATTGGGGGTTCTTTGCCGACGGATGAATTGTCCGGAGATTCGAGTTCGACAGCGGCCGCGGGAGCAGGTGTGTCCATCATCGGCGGCGTTGTCGGCGCGACAACCAGCCAGGCCAGCTCCGACAAGGACCAATTGGTCTCAGTGTCGTCTGTTGCTACACCGGCGCCTACCCCGAAGTCCAGCCAACCAGCCAGCACCACCTCGGCGGCAACACCGACGCCGACACCAACCCCGACACCCACACCGACCTCGACACCGGTACCCGGAGGCCTCGTTGTCGAAAGGAGCCCCTCCGCTGTCAGCGACGCCTCCAAGAGTGGCTCTGACATGGTGGTAAGTGCCCTGATGCTAGGCCTTGGCAGCCCTATTCTTTATCTATCTGCGAGCCGGTCCACGGCGCGACCGAATTGAAGAATTTTGGACAAAAATGCGTACGACTCGCGCACAAATGTGAAAACGTTGATATACATTTTCGTAATATAAAATGAACAAATTAAAATTTTGCAAATTTTTAAGGACTATTCTACTGTTCAATTTCAGAACAATTTTTGCTCATTTGTTTTCGATATTGTTTCTTGATGCATGGATCTCTCTATAAAGAGATGAACAGCAGTTCTTCGCAGAAACGAATCGTATAACTACGGGAGTGCTTTTGTTCAAATTTTCTATATCTAAGATATAATGAACACTATTTAACTATTTAATTATTTATTTATTTAACTGTTTAACTATTTAACTATTTGACTATTTAACTATTTAACTGTTTAACTATTTAACTATTTAACTATTAAACTGTTTAACTGTTTAACTGTTCAACTGTTCAACTGTTCAACTATTTAACTGTTTAATTGTTTAATTGTTCAACTGTTCAACTGTTCAACTGTTCAACTGTTTAACTATTTAACTATTTAAGTATTTAACTATTTAACTATTTAACTATTTAACTATTTAACTGTTTAGTCAACAAAATGACGATGTATAGAGAACAAAAATGAACAGATTTTCGAGTATTTAGATTGTGAACTATATTTAATCGAATCTAATGATCTATCGTTTTTTCGGGAATTAATACAATAATAGTGTAGCTTACTTATCGATTAACAATATTGCCGAACAATATGTTCAAAATTGAACAACGATTTCTTAATTTTCGTCCACAGCAGGCCGCACTGCGTGACCGTTTCGTTTTTCATTCTGAACACGTGGCTTGAGAATCAAAGCGTCCACAATATTTCAAGCTTAGTTATTTAAAATATTTTACATACATTTTCGTATCATTTCACTTGATGACTTTATTGTGATACAGGCTGAGTAACATAATATTGACGCGGTAATAATTGGGCATTCTAGAGTAGCTAATCTTGTAAATAGTTAACTAATTGCTTGCGAACGAAGATTGATTAATTTACATAAAAGTGTCTAAAAAAATGAAGAGGATCCGGAAAGGTTTCGCGATATTTTGTCAAGAATTATTAAAAAATGTCGAAGGGAAAATATAAATGGATATCTTAGGTATCTGATTGTACGCGCAAGGGTTAAAATACAGAAAAACCTGCGCTTTATATCCGAGACGAAGAACGATCATTTTCCAAAAGAGAATGATCTGGATTATAGGTTCCATAAACCTAGTATTAAATGCGATGCGGTTGCATTTGCCAGTATTAATTTCTATTATCCACCAGTTCAACCAATCCAATACAAGTGACACGTATGCAAGTGATTGCATATACTGCTGCAATAGTGTGGGGATGCAAGGTTAGGGTCTTCGTCAGCGGCTGGTATTGCAGCGTCATCTGCAAATGTTACGAGGGTTTATATTTGCAGAATTCATTCTGCTGGCTAGAATGCAGTCGATATTACGCGAAACGACTTATTAGATTCGATCCTAAATTATAGAGACCATTAAATTTCTTTTATCTTCACCGAGATCGATAGCCCTCGATTTATATCACCCGACACGCAATAAGTTTCGTTTACAATACTCGAATATCGATGTAATAGATTAATGTAAATCACGTCGCATTCAGCTGCAGCAATTACATCGAATCTCGTTTGCTTCGTTATTCGATTACAACGGAGCACGTATTATTAGATTGCAGCAATATTACGTGGATTATAGTAGAATGCAGCGGTTGCAATTCGAAACGCGTGCTCTATTTTTCGCGCGTTCGACCAGTATAATCTGATTTTCATTCCAACAAAATGTGTTCTCATTTCACGGATATGAAACGTTCCTTTGTTCCTTTTCGTTAGAAACGTTTCTTGCACGTTGATGAAACGTATCTTTTTCACTTTAGTACAAGTACGCGATCGTTCCGATATTAAACGTAACTTTTTATTCCTAACATTCAGGGAACGCTTTTTAATTTACATGTCGCTGTTCAATCTTCTATCTTTAACAATTTTTTTTTCTTAGTGAGAATGTTGATTCGCAGTGTTTACACGTTCCTCGTTTATTGATTCGACGTAACGAAGCTGCGACCTTTGTGACTTTTATTTCGATATCTGGAAATTTATGTATTCACACTGTGAAAAGTTCTACTACCTTAACGCTAGAACTGTCGAGCTCTAAGCACGACTAACGTTTATTCTTTTATTGCTGGAGCATATTGTTTTATTATTCTAACTGAATTCTAAATAGAAAGGTTTAGGCGAAGATATATTTCTTTCTTTAACCCTAGAAAGATAACCATATGACAACGTACGTAAAAGATAACCATACGCTTCAGAGGCGCATGCTTTTCTAAGGCGTCAATTTTATACTAACAATGGATATTTATTTAAGTTAATCTAGTCATTTTAAAGGTTTGGCATTATTGTAAAAATAAAATGCATTTATATTATATTTTTTTATATTTTAAGTAATTTTAAACTGAAATCACTAGACCTCTATGAAAAATTAACAAAAATCAACAGTCTTCGCAGGCGCCTCTGCGACGTAGGTTATCTTTCTCGGGTTAACAACTTCGATGTAATTGAAGAGAAGACAGCGGCGTTGTTAAATGTTTACCCCCAGCATTTACTGTTTTGTATTTCATCTATTCGCTTCTGCTTCTACAGTGACTAGCATTAATATTCGGACACGATGTTCTTACAAGAATTATTGCTCCTTTTTATTGTTTGTGATAGTATTATTGAATCAATTGTTTTCTCATATAATGAAGCACGGTCTCTTAAATTTGAAATGTTTAATTCTGTATTTACTTTACGCCACACCATTTTTTGTCTGTCGGATCCGTAAAAAGATTAAATTTGCTTTCATCCGAAAATATTACATCATTCTACCACCAGTTGTCTTTGTAAAAATATTCTTTTGCAAATTTAAGTGCCGACAGTGTTACACGGTGATAGGAGTGTAATAGTGTGGGGTTATATCTCGTCCGTACGTATAAGTGAATTAGTTTTTATCTATGGTATTATGGACAAAATGAAGTATTTGGACATTTTTTTTTAAATTTAATTACAATTGCTATAAATATAGGTATACGCACAGTTTTAAGTTTTATCAGGACAATGATCCTAAACACAAGGCCAGAATTGTACAGGAATATTTATTATACAATTGTCCAAAAGTACTGCATCCTCCTCCTCAATCGCCTGATTTAAATCCAATTGAAAATTTATGGGATCAATTGGACCGCAAAATTCATACAACATCCACAAAGACAACAACAGAGATAAAACAACGTTTGTTAGACGAATGGAAACGGATTTCGCCGGATTATTTAAATAAAATCATCTGTAACATGCCCAAGCGATTACATGAAGTAATAAAACAAACGGGTCAAAATATTAATAATATGATAACACGATTAAAACGATTTTCATTTTATATAAAATTAATGTAATTCATTCACTGTCCGAATATTTTTGCGACGTTAAATTTTGTCGCAATCTTGTTTATCGCTTATTATACAAAAGAACATGTGCAATAAATAAACAAAATTGATGTTTCTACTTACTTTAAGAAGTGCTTTATTCTGTGAAAAAAACAATTGATTCAATAATACTATCATAAACAATAAAAAAGGAGCAATAATTCTTCTAACAATATCGTGTCCGAATATTAATGCGAGTCACTGTACATAAAATTCGCAGTCTATTTGTAACATCGACGAAATTGGTTTCACTCAAACTTCGTACGATTTTTGTTATATAACGCATGCTTCAAAATTACATCAATCTATCAATGCACAAAAACTTCATCAAATCGATAAATTTTTACAAAATTGCATATGCAAGACATCCGTGTATAGTAGAACCACTGCGACAAAAAATAAATGTACGTTACTTTCCCATAATTACATGTAATGCCCGTTCGTTGGATAATTACCGTGTTAAATTTTGATGCGCTTCCTATACCGTTAAACAGGTTTCGTTCGATCTCGCGGAATTCTCACCTAGTTCGCAGAAATCAATCGTTTGTCATTCTAAAAATAGGAGCGAGCGTTTCGATCACTGAACAGATTTAGCGCGGAATACCGGGTGTATTGAGTCAGGAATCACAGTACCAGGGTTCTCTCGAGGCGACACCAGCTTTCACCGATCAGAACAGACATCCTCTGATTCGCATTGGCAGATACCTGATAATCACTTAATAGCATTACTATTTAGGTAGCTTTTGAGCATGTTTGCCATGTATCTGCATAATCGCGCCGTTCCCTCAGCCAGCGTACGATCGAACAACAAATTGTTCCCATTGAAACGAAGGACAATAGAGTCGTTAACATTCCCAGCGGAGTGCCGCGAAGTTTTTAAGAATTCGTGAAATTGGTGTCGAATCAATTTTTCTGTTAATCTTACTTCCAGAGATTTTGTTTACGCTCGGGCGAAATGCCATTCGGATGTTTGATTGTTAGTTGTTAATAAATATTATAATATTATATTATATATAATATATAATATATAATATATATAATATAAACATATAATATACATTATATATAATATATATAATATATCATATTATATAATATATATTATATATTATTTATTTATTTATTATTTATATATGATATATATTGTAATATTATGTAATATTATGTATAAATAAATAATATTTATTTATTATAACATATTATAATATTGATAACATTGCGGCTAACAAATATACAGTTACTGGTGATTAAACTGCGGATATTCATGCAGAAGTATTCGCAATTGCCGACTAGTAAAATATCGGCGGGAATGAGCGAGATTCGTGCTTTAATGAAGTTGCATTTAAATTGAATCTCGGGAATTTATAATGGCATGGCATGAAGTTATGGGTGATAGGAATATAACACGCTCGCCGAGCAGAGCATTCGCTCTGACTTCATTAATGTATTAATATA